GCCATCGCCGGTCCCCGCTGCGGGCCACGCGGGACGAGCGGCCAGAGGGCGGTGGTCCGAGGGTCGAGGGGCCTGTGCGGCGGCGCGCACGGGAAGTGCAGTCGGAGCGCGAGCGAGCGGCCGGGGCCCCTGGGCGAGAGGCCGGAGTGGGCGACCTTTCTCTGCTCCTGCTTCACCTAGCGCCGTCCTCGCTGCCCCTCACCCCACCCCTTTGGCGCACACCTCCCCACACGTACACACGCGCGCAGGCACCCGCGCGCTCACTCACACGCACACCCGGAGTGGGTGTGATCTAAGTCGCGATGCGCTCTCGCGCCCAGAGTTCACACTCGGCCTCAACAAAACCTTTCCGAGCAGAGAGACTGCCCTTCGAGCTACGCATTAAGTAGAAGTTCCTACAAAACTACTGTATCTTCAGAGCTGGAACCAGAGAATACTGGCTGCAGAGGATTTGGTTTGTTTCTCTTGGATCCATCCGATTTTAAATACTTCAAAGAGAGAGTTCAGAGGAATAACGCTAGGAATTATTAGTTCGAAAATGTATGCAGTACATACACCTCTGTTTTCTGCCTAATAGGATAAGAAGGATCTTTGAAACCCACAAATAAGCCAAAAATCCCTTTTAACCGACTCCTCCAACCAGAATCCTCACGAGAGCTGATAACTAAGTAATTTTAAGATTTACCCCTCTTTTCCTCCTCTTCATTGTCCTTTCAGGAACTATTTTTAACCCTTTAGCTATTTCAAAATGGGTAGCACAAAGGTAGTAAGATAGCCTGGCCTAATTAATAAACTGGATCATGGGTGGGAAACATCAGGTTTCATTAGCATAACCATATTTATTCCCAAACTGTTTCCAAGACAACAATTATATTTGAGCCAGAACTTAATTATGTGTTGATCTATCTTTATTTTACAGGAAGTATTAGTCACCCAGACTGGTGTGTTTTAGTTCCCTAAAGCCAATGAAAACATTTTTGGGAAGCCAACTCTTGTTTTTTCATCTTCAGAGAGAATTCAATTTACACATTCATGTAATAGGAAGGAGCTGTGAAGTGTATGCAAGTTTTTTTTTTTTTTTTAACCTTGACGTTGTTACTGGGTTGTCCTAAAATATTTTCAAAATTAGATACAAATGCTAGAAAGGTGACACCAAAGAACGTTTCTATCATGTGTGTTGGATGCTCAGTTGTACCTCAAAGGGATAAATCCAATCTGTCAGTCTAAATGCCACCTCATTTATCAGTCTGATCCAAGAATAAAGAATTCTTATTTGGAAGATTAAATACTATTCAGGGATTTTTTTTTTTTTTTCATCTTGGCTAATTGATTTCCTGGTAACTGCTCTTTTCTCCAAATGATACCTCTAGTGTTTATTGTCTTAAAGGCATCAACGAGAAGCCCACATATATGTGCCTTTTGTGTATGCCACCTGATAACTACTTTTCTATTCTTGCAAATGGGGATTTAAAAATAATCTGTGTTTTACAGATGACAACAGGCCCAGAGTAAGAACAGAGTAACAATAATGAATACAAAAAAGTATATCTCCACAGTGTGTAGCAATCAAACCCCTCCCATAGTTTTGAGACCTCCTCCCCCACAATCATTTGTCATAGATGTTCCAAGAATTTGTTATTGCAGTGCCCACCACTTTGTTCATTATCCCTCAGGTTTCAGTTCACTGGTAGCGGCTTTCCTTGACACTGAACCAGATGAAATCGCTGTTGGGATTCCTGAAAGTGGCCTATAGCTCTCTGCCCTTCTTACTGTCATGACTTCCTCCCTACAGGATTCATCTGCCCTTTGTGAAAGTAGAACCATGGCATGCTGTATCTCTACCCTCCAGACAGACCCAGACTTGCCTGAATCATGGGCCCAGCATCTCCTGGTATTCAGTCTGAGATCCATGAGATACCAGCAGTATGGAAATGAGTTGAAATGCAAAGTTAAAATGCTAGTTCTACCATCAATTTCCCTTGAAAAGAAATGAATGAAGTTCCTATGTTGATTGTGCGCATAGGGTTCACTTTTATAAAAGAATTGTTTGAAAATATAGTTACCATAGGATAAATTTCACTTATCTACTACAAACTTAATATTCTTGAAACTCAGACCATCTGATCCACATCAGGCTGCATACAGTTGTTAGTACAACATAAGCACTAACTGCTACTGCCAGTTTCAATATTTCTTAATGAACTGTGCACCTTCTCTAAACCCAGGACTTTAATATCAGGAGACAGAGTTAAGTTTGAGAATTGACATAGGCAACCGCTTTTGGTCATTATGGAACATTATTTTTTCTATTACCACTTTTCTTATCCTGAGCTTTAAACATGACTTGTTTGGGTTCCCTTGAAAATTTTATTCAGACATTAATTAGAAAATTAAAGAGCCTAGAATTATTAACTTGTTAGAAAAATGTTATGAACTATCAGAAAAGCTGTGAATCATTTACATTTTACATATTAAAGGTAAAACAAATTTCTTCTTAACTGTTGCAGAGAAGAAATACATAATGTTTAAATGTCATGAAATAATTATACAGCAAATACCTGACTTGTTTTTCTACCAGTCTTCAACTATCAAAACAGGTAAAAATAAATAGAAATCATTTATTTAAAAAAAAAATTATTTCTTGAAGAGGAATGAACAGTGGGGAATGGCTTTCTAGGTCTTTTCCTGAAAAACAGTTGGTCCTCTTTCCTCTTTTCTCCCCTTTTTGCCCATGGAGGAAGAGACCTTGGAATTATTAGGGGGAAAGGGGCATCAAATAGAAACAAGAACACAATTATTTCACTTTCTTTTCCCACCTAAATTCCCTAAGGAAAATCCAGCTAGCAGACTTTTATGAGATAATGTTAAAAACAGAACACGACAATGTATTCCTTTAAATTATAAAATGAAAGACCCAAAGCTTGGAAAACAGAGAAAACCAAGAATAAGAAGGAGGAAGAAGAGAGTTGGAAGGAAGGAAGGAAGGAAATGGGAAGGACTCTGTTACCCACCACTCAAAATAAACAAGAAGAGATTCACTAACAGCAAAATCAACCCTTCCTAACCTGAAAGAACCAGTTCTCTCCTGAGTCACTAAGGAGTCACTAAGGGGACAGTGGAGTTACTAAGATCTTGCATTTTAAAAGCAACTCAAAGTTTCCACTACTGTGGTTTTTGTTTACCAGAAAGTTATCAGCCCTGGCCCTACATCTAGAAATCCCCGGTCTCCTCTTCCCACGGCACATAGTCACATGAAGAAAAAAGCAGTTCTCTCTGTTCCTCAGCTTCCCTTTCTGAAAGGGGTGTCAAGACACAGCCTCCTCCAGACAGGCTTTATTTACGGCAAGAGTCAGAAAAATTTACAGCCTGACTCCTCCCTGGCCCTGATTCAGGAATG